GAAATCGCAAAAGATGTTGCATACAAGTTAGATGCTTGAATATGTAGTGATCCGATAGTAGTGCTCCGTCAATTCTTCCTGGAGTATATCTGATTTGAACTTACCAAATAATATATGAACTCGTCAAACACGTGATCGATAGCGAAGAATGAAGAGTTACGTCTATTTGTCTGTGATAATATTACTTATAATATTTTTCCTTCAAAATATTGTGGCAGTTTCTACAATGCATTTCTTTTTAATTTATTCGTATTCAGGATCATTTGCTCAAAGTGGATTCAATTCTTCATAAGTTGAAAGCTAAAGGTTATCCTGAAACAGAAACAGGAGAAACCTCGGTGACTTCTTACGATGAAGACGAATTTGATGCTATGTTGGCAGAAGAATGCAGTCAAGCTAGAACTACGTTTGAAACATCACAATTGGATCTCAAATTAAAACTTCTACAACTGGCGAATTCGAAAACGCGATTGCCGATAAATACGGACACCATTCAATACTGGCAGGCTAAACGATACGAAGACCCCGAGCTATATGATTTGGCTATGACTGCATTAGCTGCTCCAGCAACGCAAGTTTCGGTAGAGCGCTGTTTCTCTGCCGTTAAAATACTAAAGGGTGTCCACGATGAAATTGCCACACTATGAAATTGCTCTAACTTTTTAACCGTTGGGTAGAATTTAATGAAAATTTGGGTGGATTTAGTTCATAGTGCATTAGTTTTAAAGTCCTGTGATCAAAACTCGCGGAAATGGAGTCGAAAGAACAGCTCGTGCGTGATAAAATCTTGCGCATTCATCACGAGAACAAGGATCTCTCGCATCGTTCCATCGCTAAAACGTTGGGAATCGCGAATTCCACGGTGTCGCGAGTGATTAAGCGGTTCGAGGAACGGTTGACCACCGATCGGAAGCTCAGAAGTGAAGGAAAAAGTATTCCGTACAACACCAAAAATCACAACCGCGTAGTTGGGGCCTTCAACCGAAATCCGAACGCCTCCGTTAGGGATGTGGCTAAGAAGCTGCACCTAAGCCGAAGTTTTGTCCAGAAGGCCAAAACTAAGGCTGGGCTTCGAACGTTCAAGGTACAAAAGGCCCCTAATCGCGACGAGAAGCAGAACAAGTCCGCCAAAACCCGTGCCAGGAAGTTGTACCTCAACATGCTGACGAAAGTTGAATGCTGCATCATGGACGACGAAACATATGTGAAGGCCGACTTCAAACAGATCCCCGGCAACCTGTTTTTCACGGCCAAGGATAAGTTCAGCGTTCCGGAGCATGTCCGCACTCAGAAGATGTCCAAATTTGCAAAGAAATTCCTGGTTTGGCAAGCCATCTGCACGTGCGGGAAGCGGAGTGCACCTTTCGTGACCCAGGACAAGATGAACGGACAGGTGTACATAAAAGAGTGCCTCCAGAAGCGGCTGCTTCCTCTCCTGAAGGCCCACAACGTCCCAACAATCTTCTGGCCGGATTTGGCCTCATGCCACTACTCCAAGGACGTGCTGAAGTGGTATGCGGACAATAAGGTCAATTTCGTGCCGAAAATGTTCAACCCTCCCAACACTCCGGAGCTCCGCCCCATCGAGAAGTACTGGGCGATTATGAAGCAGCACCTTCTTAAACGACCTAAGGTAGTGAAGACAGTCGAGGAACTGAAGAAAGTATGGGTTTACATGCAAAAAACGGTTGATTCACAGGTTGTGCAGAATCTTATGGCCGGGGTTAAGGCCAAGGTGCGGGCATTTGCGTATGGACTGTAAATAAAATACGAGTAAAATGGTAAAATGAAGTTTAATAGTTATTTCTCAATCCCTGAAAATTTGATGGCAATCGGATGAAAACTCGAATTTTGCGAATCAATTTTGTGTGTGGCAATTTCATCGTGGACACCCTTTACTCGACGAACGCCGGCTGCGAATGTCCGCTGACTTGTTAAATGACTTGATGATTATTAGTTGTAATCAAGATCTTCTTCCTTTGGCAGTATCGAAAATCCGCTATGATTGATTCCATTATTTCAACAATGTAACGATTCAAAATTTTAAAATGATTAATAAAATAAAACATCAATTGGAAAAGGCTGACAAATCGATTTACTTCACAGGAAAATAATATTCGTATACTTAGATAATATGAAAGGTACGATCATAGAAGTAACTCTAAGACTAGAAGGACCCAAAGAAATGTGCTCAACTTTTTGGCCCAGCTCTGGTACTCTCTTCGGTCCCTAGCTAATCGATTCACCCCTCGAAACATAGGAAAATCCACTAACCCCTCATTTTATCTGTCAATCTTTCATAGCGAATCAAAACAAACATTGTGTAGTACTAGAATTTCGACTAGAATGGGGTACGTTGATCGTTTGCTTGGGACCAATAGGCTAGTCAAGTAGTTAGCCAATTTAAAATCGTTAGTTTCGTATTGATTGTTGGTACGATCTTCCCACAGAACGCTTTAAAATTTTAATACAATCGGATTTCTGGTTCCAGAGATATGTTCTAAAATATGCCGGCCTTGAGACTGAAAATTATCTTCAAAAACGCATAAATTGTAGCTTATGATTCTTACCAACCACTAAACCGAATTGGAGAATATATATTTCAAATGAAAGATACAATTGCTCCACAGGAAACTTTTAAATTACTGCAATCGGATTTCTAGTTCCAGAGACATGTTCATAAATGTGTTGGTAGGTATGTGTAAGAAGGGTCAGATCACACCATTGGTGGATAAATTCATTTTTTTTATTTAGCTTAAAGAAATTGTCCACACCTCTTCTGGAAGTTTTAGGACAGTTGGCTGGAACCTTAGCCATAGCAATGGAAAAAATTGGAATACTTTTTATGTTTTAGAGGATGTCTGCAAATTATCCATACATACTTTGACAGCATGCCTCTATACAACCAGCGTTGTTTACCGATGAACAGTTTTTCACTACCGGACAGCATCACAACCACCAGATTGATCGGTAGTTGCTTCCTGTTACTTCTAAAAATTGAGAAAGTATTTCAAAAATTCATCATCCTACTTCTGCCATGGTTTAGGTTCCAACAACTCACACCGGCAAAACCCCTTGGATCTTCATCGAAAAAGGGGTGAAAGTGAACCAAGCAATGTATCAGAAGGTACTAACTGACTCAGTAGCTCTCTGGGCTTCACAGCATTTTGGCAATAAAGACTGGATTTTTCAGCAACGACGTGTCCGGGGTATCATCTTAACCATTTGTAGAATAGCTCTATCTTTTGGGTTATCGTTCGTTTATGGTATTTTTTTTTTACTAAGGTGCAGTTCGTAAAATCATCCAAACATCGCGCGGACTTTTTTCAACGATTTAGCCATAAATGCACAAAACAACTGCATCACCTTGGAATGTAAGCGGTAAACATGGTTCAGATTTAGAAAATAAAATGGGATTTAAAGCTACAAATTTAAGTCCATCTATAAGCATCGTGAGTCGTCTTTTTTCTAGCAAGCTAAACGCGTTACACTTATCGTAATTTCAATTTCAAATTCTCTTTGATTGCGATTAGCAGCCTTGAGTAATTATTGCCAAAATCATTCTTGTTTCGAAAACTTGCGATGAACAAAAAAAAATAATGCAAATTGGTTGGCTGGCTTAGGGCACTACCCGTAAAATTTCAATCAAGAACGGGCCTACCTCGAACGGACACAATATGAGGGAAAAATACCGAACAAGCACCAAATTCCGCACAGTGTCTACTTCTGGCCATAACATTATTTTTGTTTATTTTTCAACAACATTTTTGAAATGTTACCACTTAAGTAATATTGTACATTAGAGCTGTAAGTACACATAATATTTTGAAAATATCTCATAAAATTTGGATGATTTCGAAACGCTTGAGTGCGCAATCATTATGAACTACGTAGAAAATGATCCGGCACGGTAATCCGTACAACAAAAGAAAAGAAGAAGAAAACAAACATCGTGTTCAAACGCCGTGTTTGCACATATGAAAAAAACACGTGCATGTGTGTGTATTGGACAGCATGTTTGGATTGAACATTACAACACAAGGAAAAGCGTGTACGTGTTCAACAAAAACGTTATGTTTTTACATTGGGTGCAAATGTGCACGTGTTTTTCGGAAGACTGCGGACCAGCGTTCCTGTATCGACCGGAAGAGCAGTGGCCAAAGCAAGAGGTGTACGAAAATGTTGCGCGTGACAGCCAGCGTAGAACGCTTTATTGCCAACTGCCAACGAAAGAGAAGAGGAGAACCGATAGTGACAAGACGGACTACGGTGAAGCAGCGGCAGCTGATTGAAGCGACGGCAGCGCATTACGCTTCGGTGAAAGCATCACTCGGACAGGAAGAGCTTCAGCCGGCAGGAATAATTCTTTGGCGGCAGGCGCAGTGGGACAGTTTTCCGGACGAAATGAGCGCACTCACGCACATCTTGGAGTGGCGACAGTCAAGAAAAGTAGTCCAGTCCATGATTTAGACTTGTAGAATGCTTTAAAACCGCGATAAAACTTGCAATGCTACTTGGGATGGACGGTCGACTTGCGAATGCCGAAGGGAGTTCTTTCGACAAAAGGCATCCGATCATTCTGTCCCGATTTCACTACGTGAGCCAGAAACTGATCCAGCTCTATCACGAAGAGTTCGCAAATTCGGAGACAGTGTTCAACGAAATGAGACAGTGGTTCCATATTCCAAGAATGCGTCCGGCTATCCAGAAGGTAGTAAGCTATTGCGTCTGGTGTAAGGTGAAAAAGTGTCGTTCACGATCACCGAGGATGGCTCCACTTCCAGTTGATCAAGTCACCCCTCATCTTCGGCCCTTCAGCTCCGTGGGCATTGACTACCTGTATCCAGTCGAAGTTTCGGTGGGACGGCGTAAGGAGAAGCGTTGGGTGGCAGTCTTCACTTGTTTGGCCGTGCGGGCGGTACACCTGGAGGTCGTGCATAGTTTCACAACAGAGTCTTGTCGAATGGCCATCGCTCGTTTCCGTGGCAAGTTCTCCGATAATGCTACGTGCTTCCAGGGAGCAAACAACGACCTGGCACTTCATCCCGCTTGGAACCCCACACATGGGAGGAGTCTGGGAGCGGGTGGTTCGGTCGGTGAAAGAAGCAATGTGCGCGCTAGACGACGGGAGACAGCTGACCGATGAGATCCTGGAGACAGCACTTGCGGAAGCGGCCGATATGATAAACACACGCCCGCTGACGTACTTGCCGCAGGGTTCGGACGAGACTGAAGCACTAACTCAGAACCATTTCCTACGGGGAACGGTGTCTGGTGCAGACTTGAAGGTGGACGGAACGGATACCGCAGAAAGCTGCGAAACTCATACAAGCGCTCGCAGTTTCTTGCAGACCGAATGTGGGAAAGATGGAGTAAGGAGTACCTTCCGACGATCAACCGACGGTCGAAATGGTTCGACGATCAACAGCCGTTGAAGGAAAGTGACCTAGTGTTCGTAGTCGTTCACGTTTTTTGGTGGTTCGTCGAAAATGTAGAAAAGCAGAATTGCAACCAGCAAGTGTAACCAAAAACCAAAAGCGGTGCGATGACGACGTCTGAAATAAGGGTCTTAGAAGCAGAGGGGCGAAAGTCAATTCTCTTCTTCGATTTCCTATTTTGATGACCTGCTATGTTCTTCTATAATCCAGAACAACAAACGTATCAAGAATGTGTTTGCCGTCGAGCAATTAACGAAACAGGAAGTCGATGAAGAGAATCGATCAAAATCACTTGCTTGCAAGTTTGGTTACAAGATTTCAACTCTGGAGAGCATTTTGTGTGGTCGTTGGGGGCGTGTGGTTCTGAATATGGCGATGAGTGTTCGCACACGCCCGAAGATCGGAGGCGAATGTCACCTCGACTTATTTCGTCTACTAACGACTCTCTATTCGCAGTTTTGGGGAAGTATCATAATAATAATTGTAATTGTGGATTTGTTAGTTATTTCGACGCTTTTGGACAATGCTTGACATTTACCACTTTTTCAACAGTTTCTTGTTTTAAAATCAACAATCGGAAGCATTGCTTTGATGCGTAGAAATATTTCTGGTCGATTGGTGATAAAATTATTGAAATTGGCCCGGGGGCAGCTGAGTTATTAACGTTCAAAATCTTGCACAATTTCGTTACATTTTCCATTTTCGGTTTTCACAAAGTGTACCCCCATATAGAAACCAAAGACGTAGTCCTACGTCAAAAAGGAGACTGGCTCGGTACCAGCCCTGAATTATGCAAAGATTCGTGGACTCCGGAGAGGGGAAAAAATCACCTTTTAAATCATTCAGCGTTATTCATTGGCCAATCCTCTTTTATTGACAGAAGCTTGTTTTTTTCTTTAATTTCCAGCTCAACAACTGGCGCAAAGACTCATCTACCGCAGGCGTCATTTCCTCCGAAGGTAAGTTTCAATCAGTCTTCATCATGTTCCATAAAATGTTCAAAGCTAGAAAATTCCCTTCAAAACTAAATCAATCAACACTACCCTCCGCCCGAGAGGATCCTTCACCGAAGCGGGAGAGAAGTGTCGCTCAGCTTCAAAACACCAAACAAGCAAACAAACAAACAAAGAACCCAAACCGTTTTGGCAAACAGCCACCATTCTCCGCTCCCAGTTCCGATCATCCCCCCCTCAAGCCATTAATTATGCATGATTTGCTTTGCACTTGGCTTCGCGCCAAGCCGCTGTCCCGCTTCGTGGCTTAAGCCATATAATTCCCGTTTGACTTCATAATTTTCGGAATCGCTCCGTCCTCCGCCATTCAAGGAGCTCCAGCAGCAACGGTTGTAAAACCATTCTTAACTCAATTGATTACATTCATCCGAACATCGAACAGCCCCCCCCCCCTTCTCTCGTGGCATGGATTTTACCGGCACCGGGGAAAAAAGGACTACCGAACGAACAGCAAACAAAAACCGAAAACCCCAAATTTCGAACAACAAACAGTTTGCTCCGTGTAGCAAAGCGAGTAGCAGATCCCAAGGAGCAAACAAGAATCGTTTCGTAATTCCTAGTAGGTAGCTTGAAGCGATGCCAGAATTGATCTTTGTTGTTCTTTTGAGCAGAGCCCAGCTAGCTTGATAATGTTTAGTAGGATAATTCTCCATTTTCAAACGCTATTTCTGTCTCCCTCTCTTGCCGTGTGTGTATGTGTATGCGTTTCAAATTAAACTTTTCACGAGTAAGCATTCTTCCCGGATCGTTTTTCCAATTTTGAACCGTGAGATCAAAGTCGAAATCCTCATAAAACAAATGTAAAGCTAGGAGGTTGCTAGAATTAATTCCCGAGGCTTAAATTTCCCCCGAAGCAACAACCAACCCCCGGACGGGAAAACTTTTGTTTCGCATTCGCTTGGGTGAAGCATATGGTGGCACCAGAACTCTTGTATGTGTGTTTGTTGTTGTTGCAGGCCCGTGTGTGATCTGGAGGATTTTCTAGCCGAAATTTAATTTCCTTCTCGGGTGGAATTAATAATGATGTTCAGGCGAACGCAGAAGACAATGGAAGTGTGTGCAGGTGTGGGCTAAAATGGGACAATGATAATAAAGGCAGCTGCGGGATTCGAACCCGGGACTCGTTGAGCGGTGAACGCGAACGTGTTTGCATAATACTAATGCCTCCAATCACAATGATTGATGGAATTTCTCAGAAACCATCGCTCAGCTCTGATTACGCCATTGTCGTTGACATTGGCCACGTGGTGTCTTTTGTCCCTCATAATCCATGCTACCCACACACCTACATCGGATTCATGACTTATCTACAGCACACGAGCACACCAGAATCCTCTCGCATTGACCGAAATTAAATAATACGCCACATCATGAAGAGTAGAAATCGCTGTTCCTAGAATAAAAGAGCCTTTGCAGAAGATATGTGGCAGTGTCACCATGGTTTTAGCAAGTCATTTCGGATTTTGCGGGAAATGGATTTGGGCGAACGTCAACCTACGTTTGGAAGACAGATAGCACCGAACTGGGCACATCATTGTTAGAAAGTACGGGTCGACCAGGGTCGACTGGTTCTTAATCAAACTAACCGTATTGATAAACTGTCCAGAGTTTGGATGTTCGGTCGGAGTAAACAATTGGAAAAGGGATCGTACGACGGAAATATTCCAAAGTTAGATTTCATTCGTGTGAGATGAACAGTCTGAGTTTCCTCTATCTTTGAGTTCCAGACTATTTGTTGGAGGATTGCGATAGCTAAATCAACGACTTATCTTAGAAGCGATATTGAATTGAACATTTCAGCAGAAGCGTTAATTCACTGATACAAAATCGGTTCAGAAATATGCGAAAAACTACAAGGGACAGCCCTATGGGGTTGTACGCAATGGTGACGTAGGACTACGTGGTCTTATATAATAAATCTTATTTTTTAACTGCAGCAGGAGGTTGTGTTTTGTGTAGGAATAGGAATTTGAGCGGGGTTCTCCTCTCTTTTTATACTCTTTATTATGACGCGCTTGACATAGATGGCCCACAGCGACTCACGAAGAGCTACTGATTCCGATCAATAGCGGTGCGGCTTCTTCCTCCTTCTACGGATGCTCATGTGGGCTGCAGCTCGTTGCTTGCAAGCCAGCCTTTCGTTGTTTACTAGAGAACGCCACCACTCACCACGCGGTGATGGAATAAACACCGTTTGGTGAGACCGGATGGAATTCAACTTTGAAATCTGTGTTAGGGAAATTGCTTTGCGCAGGCAATCGGTGATAATTTTAATTATCATAGCCACAGTTGCACATTCGTGCAATTTCCAATAGTGACATTTTGAAAAATGATAAAACCTTAATTTTAACAGATTCATAGAAAAAAGTCCTATCGATTGGCCGTTTGAGAATTAAAATCCATCATCTCTGGATCAACATCAGACCACTTTCAAGCCGCGACCGACTTTTTTTTAAATCCACGTCGACTGTTCTCATCACTGTGACCATTGTTCTGGTCTATTGTGATATATTTAGCTATATCACGATGCCGTATCACTATTATTAGGAGGGAGCACTACAACGACTCACGAAGAGCTACTGATTCCGATCAATAGCGGTGCGGCTGCTTCCTCCTTCTATGGATGCTCATGTGGGCTGCGAGCTTGCAAGTTTTTCGTTGTTTACTGGAGAATAATTTTCAACGCCACGCGCCGAAAACACTGCTGCTGCTGATGATGATGATGCCGATGACCGGATACCACCTTAGACCAGCCTTGATAGCTAGCTGCTTGCGGGGAGCCTTTCGTTGTATACTTGAGAACACCACCACTCACGGTGATGAGACCGAATGGAATTCAACTTTGAAATCTGTGTTAGGGAAATCGCTTTTCGCCTGTTATCAGATTCATAGCAACAGTTCCACATTCGTGCAATTTTCAAAATTGATATTTTGAAAAATAATACAGTCTTGAACTTAACAGATGCGTAGGAATATTTCTGATCGATTGGTGATAAAATTATTGAAATAGATCTAGAGGCAGCTGAGTTATTCATGTTCAAAAACTTTCATATTTTTTTTACATGTTCCATTTTCTGTTTTCACTAAGTGTTCCCCCATAAAGAAATTACAGACTTTTCTCCGGTTCGTTTTCTGATGACAAAATTATGCATTTTCGTGCATTTCGTTGTTATTCAATAGATAACAAAACAAGCGAAAATTGTTTGGAGGAATTTCTTGCTAAAATTGTCCAATTCGCGATCAATCATATAAATTCGAGATTTGTTTGCTGTTACGCATTTGACCACAAACGTTTGGCTGCTGGGTACATTATCAAGGCCAGCGTACGTTCAATGAATATTAACTCTTAAGCAACAATAATTTTTGGTGGTCCTGAAAAGAATGGTTTTGTCGTGATGGTTGAGTGATGCTGAGCTATTAGGGTGTTCAACGCGGATGAGGCTGTCGAGCTGTATGTTGTTTGGAACGAGGGTGACGCGCTTGGCATAGATGGCCCACAGCGACTCATAAAGAGCTACTGAATCCTATCAGTACCCGACCAGAACGTTATAACAAAATTATATCATGATTATATCAACTTCTGTTATACATAATAACCGTTGATATAATCTTGTTTTAAGAGCTCTGTGGTGAAATGAGGAATAAAAAGTCATTATGGTATTTGATATAAAATTGTTACACAATTTGTTAGAATAAAATTTAAAACAACATTTTAACTAAGTTTGTAGCCCGAAAAATGAAACGGTTTGTTTTATTTTAATTATTGTTTTGTTTTAGTCTTGAGCCGGAAGAAGAATTTATTTTTTTTAAGGGCTACAAGTTTTTCACATGGAATTGGGTTAATGTCCCTAATGTCAGCCTAAGTGTCCCTAATATTGGGCCCATAAATAAATTTCGAAGGCAAGCATTTTTTTGATAATGATAAACTAAAAATCAAACATATTCATTTGTATTGTTCAGATGATGCATTGTTCTACGAAAAATTAAAGAACGGGAGATTTGTATTAGATCCATAGGCCAAAGTTAGTTCTTTTACCCTTTTTTTTTGCAGCATTCTCTTCAGATTGGGATGCTAAGAATTAAATAAATCATTACAGTCAACTCTCCCTTACTCGATCTCTTCTTAGCTCGATTCTCAGTAACTCGATTGAAATCCAGGGGCCTCATTTCGCAAGTTGAATCAAACTACCAATCCCAAAGCGACTAGGCTACTATATATTTATTCCGTAAAACCTAAAAATGTTACGTTGGTGATTAAGAATGCACAACAGCATTATAAAATTGAAATTGTCACTGCAAGACGCTTCCGATCAAAAGGCTTACCTAGATTTTAACTATCTAGGAGCGATTGCGCAATAATAGTGTGAACCAATGATATATTCGCTCATGAACGGAATCCAAAAAACATAAATTATCAGTTCAGTTGCGTTCTTTGAATTTTGGCGTGCACCTTTTCAAATAAATATTTTGCAATTTGTGAAAGACAATATGTTCTTGATGATATACAAATGATCAATGAAAAATTGCAACACTAACCGTCGAACATTAGCAATCAAAACTAACCTCGAATATATCTTTAATTTGCAATGGTGTGGGAGACAGATCTCAACGCATAACCAAACAAAATGTGCAACTAACACTGTATTAGAATTCAAATAGTGCATATGCAATCAATGAATCGCTTTCATCTTATTTTTGGTTTGTAACATATACTTAAATTAATTACTTTCATACAGCTAAGTTTAATGCTTATGCTACTATGTAATCAGAAAAAAAAATCTTATTAGCGAGTGCAATGTAAACGGCAATATTTCAGAATTATAACAAACTTTGTTACAAACATATTTAGCCACCCTCCGCTTACGTCAGTTCAACAAGAGTGCAGAGAGTGAGAGGTGTTGGGAAAACACGATTTATTTTTAACTCAGTTGCCGGCGCCAGCGAACTAAGAAGGGTTAGCTTGCATCTACTCCTTCTTCAACAGTAGATTTAGTCTAGATGGTAGAGGCACCAGATTTCCCACTAGCCAAGATTGTTAAACGTCTGGGTTCGAATCTCTGTGGCAGCTCTATAGACGCTTTTTGTATTTGTAAAGCAGGCTTAAAGGAGAGGGGGGTGTGGGGGGGGGGGAAATTTGCTCTCCGCAGATGATTTTTTTAAAAATATTTTAACAACATTCTAAAAATAGAAAACGCTCAAAAAATATGTTACCCAAAAACCGTATTGAACAGTCCAGTTCATACCCTTTTTAATTTTTACCCTAATGGGTTATTTTGTAACAAAGTGTGTTAAAAATATGATATATCCCTAACAATAGTTGTTATATTCTTGATAGTACGTAGAAGATTTCTTGTTATATTTTTTGTTATTTTAACTACTTACGGTACATGTTTTGTAACAGACCATGTTACGAATAATTTTATATCTCAGTAGCACAGTGTGTATTATTTCTGATAGTTCATTCTGGTCGGGTAGCGGTGCGGCTTCTTCCTCCTTTGGTGAATGGGGGCAGGCTTTTGTTGTGTACTGGAGTGCAATGTTCAACGCCACGCGCCGAAAACACTGCTGCTGCTGCTGATGATGATGATGACCGACCGGACACTACCACACACGGTGATTGAAAAAGCACCATTCGGCGAGACCGGATGGAATTCGATTTTGAAATCTGTTTTAGGAAAAGCGCTTTTTGCAGGTATTCGGTGATAAATTTGATCACAATTGAAACTGTTTTATGTTTGTGTAATTTTCAATAGTGACCTATTGAAAATTGATAAAGTGTTCATTTGTGCAGAATTGTAGAAAATTTTCCAATAGATTGACTTGTTTAGAATTACAATCGATCCGCTATTGACAGAGTTATAAGTGGTAAAAACCTAACCACATTTCGTAGCGTGGTCGATTTTGGTTTTTTGAAATTCCAACCATAAAATGTTGCCGAAAGAAGTAGGAGACATAAAGCTCTGGAGTGATTGGTGACGATTCGGCAGGCGTGATTAACGTTGATCATGCCGATTTCTGAGGCACCTGGATATTGTAACGTCGTGTAACTGCGGATTGATGATCAAAGAGCACGCTTCTCATCGTCAGCATAATCCGACGAAATGCGAACGTGATATCGGACTTGTTAGTGTTTTTCGTGGACTTGAGGGTGAGTAGTTTGGACTGAACGGCACATCGCTGGCTCTCGATGCAGAGTACGCAGGAGAGGCACCACCGGACAATACAGGTTCCATTAATAAGAGGAAGTTGCTCTATAAATGACCTAGATGGAGCATTTAAGCCAGGATCTTCAAGCTCTCCCGCACCATCAGAGTACCGACATTTACCGTGATGTATCGAGCATCTCCGTCTTATTAATTGAACAGGCTTGCATTTGTCAGGTGGCGCCTCCCTTGCGTACTCTCCAACAAGTCCCAGCGATTTGCCAACCAGTCCAAAACACTCACTCTTTAGTCACTAACAAGTCCTCACCCGTAAGTCAAACACTAACAATCCGACGAGAAGTTCCGAGAACTTCCCATAAGAAGTTCATGATACAGTCAGGGAAACACGTCTGCTTGGTCTTAGTGAATGTTCAAGAATGGTTTATTAATTATAAACTAATTGGCGTGGCTTGCTACTTCAGGTTGCTTCATCTATCACTCCTCCTCAACGTGAAGTCCAAGTCCATTGCGAAAATGTGTCAGCTTTGTAGCACCTAGCGGCTTCGTGTGTAGTTTACCTTTATTACTTTCTTCTTATTCAGATCTCTGATGACGCCGGTCGGTGAATACCATCTTGCTGAAGCTGTTTGATGCAACTTTGATTGTCTTCCTGTACGGTAATTGGGGGTTTGCTGCTTCACACCAAAGTCCTTCAATAGTTTCTGTAGCCAAAGTAGTTCCTGGCAGCACTCGGCCAATGAGATATACTCGGCCTCGGTCCTGGACAATGCTACCCAGGATTGCTTCTTCGCCGCCCAGGAAATTGTTGCCCCACCAAGCTGGAACAACAAACCGGAATTCGATTTTCGATCAACGGTAGTTCCTGCCCAAACTGCATCTGCGAAACCAATCAGTTCTTCGTTACTTCCTTCCAATTGCAGCTTCAGATCACTGGTACTGCTAAGATAGCGTAAAGCCCGTTTTGCTTCTATCCAGTCAGCTGCAGTGACTTACTTTTCTGCCAAGAATGGAAGCACAGATGGGAATGTCCGATCGAGTGTTGACTGCGAGATACAGCAGACCTTTTTGGATGGAAGCTCTTCACTCTCCTCCTTCTGCTGTAGAAATCCAGGCTCCATCGGCACTTTTCATGGTCGGGCATCCTCCATTTGGAAACGAATTGCAAGTTTCTTGATGTTCATTCTTTGACTCAATGTGTAGCCATGTCTAGTTTTCTCCACTTGCATACCCAGAAAATGCTTTACATCACCCAGGATTGTCATCGTGAAATTTTTCTCCAGATGCGAGCAAATATTGTCATACTCCTCTTGACTTGATGCAGCAACGAGCATGTCATCGACATATATGAGGATAAAACATGATTCTCCATTCTCGTGACGCACGTAGAGACAGTGGTCAGCGTCTGAGGGTTTAAATCGAATCTCCTTGAAACATGCATCTAACTTCCTGTTCCACATCCTTGCCGACTGCTTGAGTCCATACAGACTTTTTTTCACATCAATGTGTTTCACGAGCATATTCCGCATTCCAGCAACCGTCAAGAGGGTCCTTAGTGTCACTTGCTTTGCCGCTGGAGCGAAGACCTCGTCATAATCACTTCCATACTTCTGCGTAAAACCTTGTGCTACCAATCGAGCCTTAAAACGCACAACCTCACCTCTTTAATTTTCTTTCCTCTTGTAAATCCACTTGCATCCGACAGCGCGCTTGTCGGCAGGCAAATTCGTCAGCTCCCTAGGTTTATTGTCCTGCAGTTACTTCATTTCCTTCTCCATTGCAGCTTTCCATTCATTCCAGTACGGGCTGTTCATTGCTTCTGCAACACTTCGTGGATCACTCTCCATAGCAGCATTCTCTCCATAACGCAAAGGTGGAAGACTCTTAAGCTGGGTTTAGACAGGGCAAGTCAATTGAATGCGAATTGAACGTGTAAGCCATGCCATTCAATTGACTTGATCAACTCACTTGAATTGAAAAAAGTTTAACCAGGCTCAACTTTTCAAGCCAATTGAATTCAACTGAGTTGATCATTTGACTTGCCTAGTCTAAAACAAGCTTTATGCTGGGTTTAGACTAGGCAAGTCAAATGATCAACTCAGTTGAATTCAATTGGCTTGAAAAGTTGAGCCTGGTTCAACTTTTTTCAATTCAAGTGAGTTGATCAAGTCAGTTGAATGGCATGGTTTACACGTTCAATTCGCGTTCAAGTCAGTTGAATTCAACTGACTTGATCAATTGACTTGCCCTATCTAAACCCAGCTTTATTCTCTCGCATCGACCGTTTGATACCGTCTCCTTCAACTGCGACCTCCTCCTCCAGATCATTGTATTCTTCACCGACAATAGAATCGTCAACATCCGTCAGCAAGCTGATACTTGTAGCTTCGGAAAAATCGTCATCCATTTCAGTGCAGGAGTCCTCGTCTTCCGGAACACATTCCCCATGGATCGTAGCTGGAATCTTTCGCAGAGGTTATTCGATCAAGTGTTCGTTTTTTTCGGCACAGCTATCTTGATGTTAACCAGGAACGAATCTGACGTCTCGGCTGACCACCAGTTTGTGCGTTGTTGGACCAATCATTCGATAGCCTTTATGATTTGAAGAATAGCCAACGAACAGAATCTTCACCGCCTTCGGTTGCAGCTTTGTCCGTTTCTCCTTTGGTACGTACACAAATGCAGGCGTTCCAAATATCTGCCGATGCCTTAGGTCCGGTTTTTCGTCATTCCATAACTCGTACGGTGTCTCCTTCAGCGCTGCAGTTGGAAGCATGTTTTGAATGTCATCAGGAGAATGACTAACCTGCATCGCCTGAACAGTTTCTTGAGTACTTTTGACGTAGTATAATCCAGTCCTCGCTGTCGCAGTCGCAGCCACTCGTCCTTCTTTCTAGATGATGTATTAATTCTTCTCAAACACAACTTTGACACCTTTTCCTTTTCCAGTAAGCTACATTACAGACATAATATTTACCTCCAGATCCGGCATAAACAATGTATCGCTCAACTTTACAACTTTATCGTTTCTAGTCGACACGTTACAACTACTTTCGAAAAAATCTCCTTACCGTTTGCAAGCGCAACTTCCACCATGACACTCGGGTCAATCTTCTCGAACATGCATTCCTCATTGCACATATGGGAAGATGCTCTTTACTCCACTATCTACTTCGAAGGGAACCAATCACAAATCATTGTCGAGAATGCAAATTCAGAACTTCCTTCATCCGCTAGTTTCGCATTTTGATACGATTTCTCTTGCTTTGATTGAACTGCCGGTGTAATCGTGCCCAATCGTGGTTCTCGTTTCCTGGAGCCCATTCGGTTTGTGCTTGTGCCGCTGGCCGTACTCCGGGATCGACGAACTTCCAAAGCTGCTCCCTAACCAGCAATAACTCCACTTCAAACTTCCAGTCCGAGTAATTCAAATCGTTCAATTTCTTAACGCTGATTTCTCCGTTTTCAGTTTTTAGATTCTTAAAAAAGATTTCATTAAAATTCCCTAAGGTTCCAACGAAAAGTTCAGAGTACTGCCGTTGAGAAGTTCAAAAAGCTCCCAAGAAGTCGTTCTGAGAACTTCCGACGAAAAGTCCAGGGAACTTCCGATGAGAAATTCCAAGACTTTCTGACGATAAGTTCTGAGAACATCTGACGAGGAATTTAAAGAACTTCCGACAAGAAGCTCTTAGTACTGCTGACAAGATGTTCATAGTACATTCAGAGAACTTCCGAGCAGAAGTTCACAAAAGTTCTGAGGAGAAGTTCACAGAACTTCCGACAAGAAGTCCAGAGGGCTTCCGAGGAGAAATTCAGAGAACTGTCAAGGAGAGGTTCAGAGAACTTCCAGCAAGAAGTTTACAAATCTTCCGAGGAGAAGTTCAAAACTTCAGTGAACATCCAAGGAGAAGTTCAGAGAAGTTCTGAGCACATTTGGCGTAAAATTCAAAGAACTTTCCGACGAGAAGTTCCGAGCAGAAATGCAGAGAACTTCCCATAAGAAGTTCACAGAACTTTTGAAGGAACTGTTATCAGAACTTCCCTTAAATTTCACAGAATTTTCCTGAAGTTCACAGAACTTTATTAAACTTCCCGAAAGTTCCGACGAGAAATTCAGAGTATTTCCGTCGAGAAGTTTAAAGATCTTCCGAACATAAGTTAAGAGAATTTCCGACGAAAAATTCACAAAACTTCAGTAAATTTCCCTAAATTTTAGGAGTAGGAAGTACAGTGAACTTCAGTCGAGAATTTTAGAGAACTGCCAACAAGAGGTTCACAGAACTTCCGACGAAAAGCTTACAGAACTTCTTAGAAGTTCCATCGAAAAGTTTAGAGAACTTTCAACGATAGATTCAGAGTTCATTCAACGACAAGTTGACAGAACTTCATTTAAATTATCTGCAGCTTCGACGGCAGGTTCGCAAAATTTCCGATAAGGCGTAAACAGAAGTTTTGAAGAGAATTTCACAGAACTTAATGAAAATTCCCTGAGGTTCCAACGAAAAATTCAGAGTACTGCCGTTGAGAAGTTCAAAGAGCTCCCGAGAAGTCGTTCTGAGACCTTCCGACGAGAAGTCCAGGGGACTTCCGATGAGAAATTCCGAGATTTTCTGACGATAAGTTCTGAGAACTTCTGACGAGGAATTCAGAGAATTTCCGACAAGACGTTCATAGTACGTTCAGAAAACTTCCGAGCAGAAGTTCACAAAACTTCCGAAGAGAAGTTCACAGAACTTCCGACAAGAAGTCCAGAGAGCTTCCGAGGAGAAATTCAGAGAACTGTCAAGGAGAGGTTCAGAGAGCTTCTGGAGAGAAGTTTACAAATCTTCCGAGGAGAAGTTCAAAGCTTCAGTGAACATCCGAGGAGAAGTTCAGAGAAGTAAAATTCAGAGAACTTCCGTGGCGAACTTCACAAAATTCCCGACGCAAGTTCCGAGGAGAAATGCACTTCCCATAAGAAGTTCACAGAACTTTTGAAGCAAATGTTATCAGAACTTCCCTGAAGTTTCGCAGAATTTTCCTGAAGTCCGGAGAGCTTTCAATTTAGAAGTTAGAAAGTACAGTGAACTTTCGTCGAGAAGTTTAGAGAACTTCCAACAAGAGGTTCAGAAAATTTCCAACGAAAAGTTTAAAGAACTTCCGGTGAAAAGTTCAAGAAACTTCGAACGAAAGTTCACAAAACTTTTTGGAAGTTCCATCGAAAAGTTTAGAGAACTTTCAACGATAGATTCAGAGTACTTTCAATGAAGTTCCGAGAAGTTACCAGAACTTCATTTAAATTCTCTGTATTTCCGACGGGAGGTTCAGAGAACTTCCGATAAGAAGCAAACAGAAAATTCGAGATTTTTTTTATTCTTTATTATGGAGATTTTTAGCCGAAAACTAGTTCACTTCTTCAAAAAAAATTTGAGAAAAATTTCTCAGAATTTAATGAAAATTCCATGAAGTTCCAACCAAAAGTTCAGAGTACTGCCGTTGAGAAGTTCAAAGAGCTCCCGAGAAGTCGTTCTGAGAACTTACGACGAGAAATCCTGAGAACTTCCAATGAGAAATTCCAAGATTTTCTGACGATAAGTTCTGAAAACTTCTGACGAGTTCTGACAAGAAGCTCTTAGTACTGCTGACAAGATGTTCATTGTACGTTCAGAGAACTTCCGAGCAGAAGTTCAGAAAACTTCCGAACAGAAGTTCACAGAACTTCCGACAAGAAGTCCAGAGGGGTTCCGAGGAGATATTCAGAGAACTGTCAAGGAGAGGCTCAGAGAACTTGCGGCAAGAAGTTTAAGAAATCTTCCAAGGAGAAGTTCAAAGCTTCAGTGAACATCCGAGGAGAAGTTCAGAGAAGTTTTGAGCACATTTGGCGTAAAATTCAAAGAACTTCACTAAATTTCCGACGAGAAGTTCCGAGGAGAAATGCAGAGAACTTCCCATAAGAAGTTCACGAGCTTTCGACTTATGTCCAGAGGAGAAATTCAAAGAACTGTCAGAGAACTTCCGAGGAGAAGTTTAAACTTCATTCAAGCTTTAAAGCTTGAGTGAACATCCGAGGAGAAGTTCAGAGAAGTTCTGAGCACATTCGACGAAAAATTCAGAGAACTTCCGAGGCGAACTTCACTAAATTTCCGACGAGAAGTTCCGAGGAGAAATGCAGAGAGTCTTCGACGATAAACTATGAGTTTTTCGAGTTAGGAATTCACAGTACTTTCGACGAAATAAAGAAAAGAAAAAAGAAGAGCATCTAAATCAGAATCAATATTCATCCCGAATAGGCAATAAGTTTTTTTTTCGTTGTGGGATTTCACATTTTCGCTGACACTTTCAATCACTTGCTGCTTCCTCCCGAATAAGATGCGTAGAACTTTTCCCAATTTGTTTGCGGCAGCCGATCAGATTGTCCAGAAAGATGAAGAAGATGATGACAAATAGTGCAACCAGCGGAAGAATGTCAAGATTGGGTTTAAGTCTTAACAAACTTTCTAGAAGCTGCGGTCAGAACAGCTGCAGTGATCAGCGAATCGAATTCCTCAATCATAAACAGAAAAAATACATTTGATGCTCGTGCGTATGTGTGTGTGTGACAGCGGTGAGAGCAGATTTGTTTATGGCTGACTTTTTTTTAAATCCGAGATTTTTTCTAATACGCCAGAATCGGCATGGTTATTAGCAAAATCTAGGATAATTCGAGATTGGAGTTTACCACTATAAGAGATTGAACTAGATTTTGGCTTCATATTTTAAGCAACTTCTAGAAAATGGTTATTACGAGTAAGGGCTTAACTAGGCTTCCAAATATAGGGGGCAAAATCTCGCACAATTAGTTATATTTCAAAGGAATCATTTCATAGTGAATAATGATTCTTCAAGTGTGAAATTCGAACCGTGTAAAAATTTCGAAATTTTGGAAATTGTTTTTAAATCTCAAATCTAAAAAAAAACTCACAGTGCTCTAGAGTTTCGAAAATTTGTGTGAGATCAGAATTTTCAAAATTATCAATGTACAAGAGCCCTCATATGCTGAGAAGTCATAGACATTTGAATTATTTTAAATTAGCAATGTTAACAAGTCCAATATTTTGATTTTTTTTTTCTGTCTTCGAGATATTCATATCAGATCTCAATTTTCTAAAGTAAAAACTTATGTGAAGTCTCAGAATCATAATTACTTCGCCAGCGAACTGTGTTTTTTTTTTTTGTTTTTGTGTTACATTTTTTAAAAGTTATTAAGTTTTGGGTTTTCGCTCAATACTCCTATGCGACTGTACTAACATGCGTCTCCATTGATTTATAGCGACTGTAACACACATACCACACCATACATAACAATATATCACACCTATTGAATGTTGGCGACCATGTACTTTCACTGCCTTTCCATCCACATAATAGATAATCAATTCGTCACTGCTGTTCCGTAAAGCATATAGTATAGAATCCCCCGACTTGAACTTAATGAAAACCGATTTCTCCTCCGGAATCCGATATTATGCTTGAAGCATTTGCATCCAGTGTCTTGATGAAATTAGCAATCTAGGCCCACTAAGGCGATTCTCGCACATTAATTTTCAAAGTCGAAGCAAAGAGTAATCTTTATTTCTATGATACTCATTGATAACAGCTGTTTGAGGTAACTCCAGAAAAAATAATACCGGCTAAAACTAAATCCGCAGACAACGGTATCTCTTTGTATTTTAATTTAATGAAACTTCTACACGACATCAACTTGCATCCATGTGCTCTGAAGCCAACGGCAATCGATATTCTAATTCCGCATCACAC